GAAAAACTTTTATTAAGAATAAGACTCATGCTGCAGATAAAAGACGAAGCTTCTCCAACTTTAAGAATATTATGCTTAGAATAACTCTGTTTCAGAAGAATTCTCTCTTAGAGCCAGGCATAAAATAAAATTCTTTACGAGTTTCACTGAGATTACATTTTCTGAATGTTCGAGATTTTAAGATCAAACCATATTTTCACTTGCCTCATTTGTCAATCGAATCATCTATCAAATTACGCCATCTGTTTTTCTCTCACTGCTCACGTTTGTTCCTGATACAATTTCTCACAGACCGCATATTATCGCAGAAAGAATAAGATACCGTCATTATTCGAATGAGAAATAAAGCGCTCACACAAATCGCCTTCGATCCTCCGCGGCGAGGACTAATTTAATCGAAAGAGATTTACCGGCGCGCAGTCTCGCTGTGTTTACTTTAGCGGCGCTTTATATTTCCTCGCGCGATTATATTGATTTACGAGAGGCAAAAAAGATCGGATCCTGCACACCTCGTCTATTACGAGTCGTGAGATTTGGCCGGAGTTAATTGATATCGACAGCGCCGATCCGAAAATTCGCCCTCAAGTCGCCGTCGGTAGAGACTCTCGCCGAGACCGCTCCGATTAATCGCTAATTGCGACGATCATCGTCTCTCTATGAAAACAAGCTACGGCGCTCTCTGACGTGGGCCAGCTATACGGCTTAATAACAGGAACCGATCGGAGGAATTTCAGACGGTGGCCGAGCGTGGTTATTAAGTATCGAGAGGTTATCCGATCGACCCCCGATACACGGCGGCTCACTCGGATTCAACAACATTCTTATCCATCGATCAAGTCTCGCGCTTCACGCCGGCTGGCCGGCCGAACTGCAGCCATAAATCGCTTGTCGAGATTTTCTCCGGGCCGCAATGAAAGCGTATCGCGAAAACGCGATTGATCTCGGGCTCAATAAACCGCGCCTCCAATTTTTGCCAATAGGTTTCGCCCGAATCTCACCAACATCTACGAGTTCATTGGATCAGCCCAATAGTGAATCGCGAGAGTTGATGTCCCGAGTAAAAATCGCGTGTGAATCGCGAGAGTATGGATGTCTCCCATAAAAATCATTCCGGAGATGCGATGTCCCGAGCCGAGTGTAATCGAAGAGAACACAATCAGGAAAGGACAACTGACGAAAAGAAACGACCGGGGCTTAAAAACACATCAGTGACCTCCCCTGTATTTCATTTCCGGCGGGGAGAGAGAGAAAGAGAGAGAGAAAGAGAGAAAGACAGAAAGAGACGGATGAACTCCTTGATAACGAACGTACAGAGAAGAGTACACAAGACCGCTGTTATAAATTGAATCACGATCGAAAGAATTGAGCATCCGTCCCCTCTCTCCTCCCTGATGATTTGTCCGGAAGCAACAGCTCGCTCGTATACTTCGCAATCAGCGTCAGGTTTGTTTCAGAAAACAACGCGAAGTCGTAGCGATGGACATATACTCATTTAGTACGTATCAGAGAAATTCTCTCTTTGCCACATCAACAATAGTTAAGGATATATTCTAAGAAAATTTAAAAAAAATTAGAAATTAATCTAAAATTAATATATTGCATCTAAAAGTGATCGCAAGCAATTTGACAATGATTCAGAGTCAGGATTTCGAAAATTTTTTAAGAAGATATTCAAGAAACGTGCTGCCGCTCGTCAAATTCGGAAATACAAAGCGTTTCATAAATAATTAATGAGTCGATTATTTCAAAACTTACCAGAAAATATATTGATATATTCTACATTAATCAAGCACGGGTTCTCACTACTTTAATTTAGAGCGAATCCTTTCTCTCTCTCTTCGTGTTACGATTACTTCCGCATAATCGATTGTAGCGTGTTACTAACTTGTAAGAGGGCGAATATAAATCGTGGCTGCAGTTAAGCAGCGAATACGAGCGACATCAACAGCATCTGTGAGCGCGAGAAAAAAGAAAACGAAGAAAGACAGAGAGAGAAAAAGTCGCGGAAACGCTGGAAAAAAAGTCACGGTAACGAGTGTCGGTCGCGAACGGAAAATAAAGTACGTTCTTCCTTTCCCCCGAGAGAAGAGAAGGAAACGGAGAGAAAGAACGGAAGAGAGTTCGACACGTCGGATTATTGGGTCGAGGGAATCCACGAGAGCGGGTGGATCGTTAAAACTGCAAGCTCGATTCTGTCTTGCCCCACGTCGCCTACCTCTCTCTATCTTTCTCTCTCTCCCTTTTGTTTTTCTACCCTCGACCGCAACGCGCTTTCAATTATTCCGTTATATTTTCGAGACGTCGCGAGAGGAAGGCCGTTGCGCTCTCCCGGCGACGTGCTCGAGTAGACGAAGTTACGGCACGATTCTTGTTGCCGGAGCACTTGGTCGAGCTTCTCGGGAACTCGATGGGCGAGCTGGCGAGTGAGGGATCAATGCGCGAAAGGGAAGTCGGAGGAAGAGTGATACACTCCAACCTCCGGTGATATCTTTTCTCACTGAACTTCGTTGATATTAGGCGAGCCCTAAATTTAATTCAGCGCATAAGTTCAGCCACACGCAACCTCGTCGAATTTCTCTTCCTACCCGACCTTCCCGATGGATCCATAGAATTTTTCTCGTTCGCGAGAGAAGTTTGACGAGAGCCACAAATCAGAAAGCAAATATAGAATTTCGCAGGCATCACTGATGTTCGACCTTTGATTGTTTCTTTTATGATTGAGAGTATTAGCTCCATTGACTGATTGGAAATTTATCTTATGCTCGTGATTAGGTTGATCCCAATCAACCCAATTATCTGGTTTGTATAAGATTACATCACCGAATTCTTATTAATAATAATCCTTATTATTAATAAGGCCAAGTATCAACCTTGCTGCGTGATATGACTTACCAATAACACTATTCTGTACAAATCAGACTGAGGAGGAGTATTCGTAAATTTATTTGTGGGATATAAAGTTTACTTCTGTGAAACGAAATTTATTTCCGCGAATAAACTTTATATCCTACAGATAAATTTTTAAGTATTTCTAAATATAATGGAGATCAACCTGATTAGGGCAACCATGAAATAAATTTCTAGTCGGATACAAAATTATTCCTCGATTGACAGCGTTCAATCATTGTGATCGCGAAAACGGCCGTAAATTCGGTTCGTTGATCGCACTGCTCCACGTTTTCACGAAAAGCACCGCTGAATTACGACGGGTCTACCGCATTTCGTCTCTCATCACCGATCGTTGGTTGGCGACGCAACGGCAACGCGCGGAGAATCGAGTATGAGGACGAGAGGAGAAGTCGAGGACCGTCGTCCGATAACGAAGACGAGCCCCTCGAGGCGTCTTCCTCGAGTCGGATGAATAAACTCGGGACTAATTACCGCGATAAGTGCGGAAGGAGCCCCGGCACGCTCCGTTGTTCCGCGAAGATCCGCGATGATATTAACGAGTGGCGAGTGGCGGTCGCCATGCTCGATGCCTCAATCGCACGGAATGCCTTGAAATATCTGCGCGCAGTTCACCGACGAGAGATGTAATAATATGGACGCGCGCCGCGTCGGCTGGGCGGGACGCGACGTTTATTACCTCGCAGCAGTGCGTAATTAAAGTAGAATAGATGGCATTTGAGGCATTCTCCGGCCGGCGGGATGAATGCCGCCCTCCCGACCAAGGAGCGTCGTGATTTAGTCGCGCAGTCAACGCTTATTAATCTATTCGCGCGAACGTGTGTTTAGTTGTGCATAGCTGTAATAGCCAACGTTCCTACAAGTGCTCATTAATACTTGCATAAGTAAACGTGCGCGTATGCAAAAATCAACTCTTCGCGTTTGCATCGCATTGCTGCAGGAGGGACAGCGATCGCGATCGATCGCCTCGAGAGAGACGAATCGACACTCAAAGCGAAAATGTTTTTCTCCGTCCGAAAGCCACGGGCAAAATTGAAAGGTACAGGTGTTGAACTGAGTCTTTTCATCGAGTCTTTTCGATTGCACGTTTTTTCATTTGGATACCTCCCTTTATATTCCTGTCTTTGACACACTGTTGACCAGCTGTTTGCAATATTGTCCAACTTTTGTTCTTGGCTTTGTTTCCACCATTGTTGAAGCACAAATTGAAATTCGTGGACCGACAATGTTCGTCTAGCGAAACACGAGTTTCCTCGTGATTGATCAACATTGTGTCGAGGACAAGGTAAGAGAAAGCGCGAATGAAACGAATTAACCTTCCGGGTCGCAAGTACCAGACAGGTGCTGAGCGACTTCATTTTACACTTCACTGCGCGTATTTTAGAGTAACACGCGCTATGTATTGTTCCCATTTTCTCATCGAAAATAACTAGCTAAAATTGTGAAGACCTCACTGAGAAAAAAATACTTAAAATTTTATTCCTAGGATATAAAATTTATTAACAGAAATTAATTTTATATTACGCGCAAATAAATTTTCATATATTTTTCTTAGTGTGATACAAGATTGTTTCTTAAACATTTTGTATTTTCCTTTTAATGAATAAGATATTTAAGACCCCTCAAATGATACATCCAGAAAAAGTTTTATATTAAAATATTAAATTTCTTTTGATTTATTTAAACTATCGTATATTTTTGTTTTCTCTCATAACAAACACAAATAAAATATATTTTGTATTCTATTTTTAAAAATTCTTCAAAGATAATATCAATAAAGAGAAAAGAAATATATGCTTATTAAAAAATAAACCTGCCTTGGGGAAAGTTGCGCAAGTTGCATAACTATTAAGGAGGTTAGCAAAATTTCCATTTCTGTCTAACAAAATTCGCCGACTAGCGGAAGGTTAAGGAAGCAGTATTTCTCGCAAGGCGGTCCTGAACTAATCGCGAATTATGCGCGACAATACTGACGCTAATTCTGCGACCGTGAAGAAGCGAAAGAAATCGGAAGGGGGACGGTAGGAAATGAAAGGAAATAGCGATCGTAAAACTGTGCGGCGTGCCTCGTGTCGTACGCGCTGACTGAAATTACCCGCCTTGCCTGTTCCAGTGTGCAACTGCAACCTCCACGCGAGAAAGTGCAGATTCAACATGGAGCTGTACAAGCTGTCGGGCCGCGTCAGCGGAGGTGTTTGTCTGCAGTGCCGACATTCTACGGCGGGAAGGCACTGTCATTACTGCAAAGAAGGTTACTACAGGGACCCGGCGAGACCGATCACGCATCGCAAGGCCTGCAAACGTAAGTGTGCCGCCGCCGCCACCACCACCACCATCGTCGTCGCAACCGCCGCCGTCGTGGCTGTGCGACCGCAGCAATTACATGTAAATCCACACAGAGAGACATTGGAACGCGCGAGCGCCCGACGAGTAATTACGCGCGTCGAGTAACCTTTCGCGATTACCCGCGTACACCTCGTAGTCGCAGCCGCGGCACGCTTAATTACGGAAGTGCCGTCGAACTCCACTACCGTCGCGTCGTCCCCTTCGTCAGTCCCTTCGCCGTCGTGGTCTGTGCCCGGGATTAGTGGGCGACGATAATGGCGTGTGGGATTTCTAATTCTTCACGCGACCGTACTTATGCAAAGCGCTAATAACGCGGGACGCTCGTCGGGCTAATTAGCGGATCCCGCGGCTCCAGTCCGCGCTTGCTCTCTGTCCGCGCGAATTCGATTCTGCCTCGACGCGACGGTATAATTTCGCGAGAGGCCCTTCCCGTCATTTCCCGCGAAATCTCCGGTTGGCGTGACACTGTCGCTTCAGATACCTCGTTCTCAAGCTGGAACGTCGTATGGGGTAATAATACACGGAAAAAAATGTTCACTCTGTATAACGAAACGGGTGAAAAGTCGATAACGAGAAACGACAACTCTATTTATTCGCATATTAGATTTGGTTTCTGGGTTTGAGCCGCGTGGATTCATCTTTGATTCCGACGTTTCGCGAACATTTCAGTCGGCTTCATCAGGGAGGAACAACCCGCTGATCTGTTTACTCGCGACAGAAAATATTTATCTGAACATTCAGCTGTGTCCAAAACTCGATAACGGAGAACAGTTATCAAGAATCGTTTCAAAGGCGCGCGAAATTGCGGCGACATTGCGGAAGCCTCGTCATCCACGAGTCCGATCAAGAGTTTTATCGTGAACGAGCGGCTGATCGAGGCCGACCTAGGGAGCCGGAAAAGAAGGGAATGAAAAGGGCGCAGGGAAAGCGGGAAACGGCGACTTCTCCGATCAGGTCAAGCGCCTCTTGCCAGCCGCGTGTGCGCGACGCTATCGCAGAGAGCCATTACCATTCGTCTCAGTCCCTGGCTACGGCACTGTTACAAAGTGGTTACCAGCTGAGCAACCCCCTAATCTCGGCGCGTTCAATTTATGTACGTTTGTCTAGGGCCACGGACCGCCGCGGGGATAACGATCTCCCGGTGTGAGAAAGCGCGCCTGCCGTTGCATTCACGACGCATCGACGGTGTCCGTTGCGTTTTAAGCGAGCATCCGCGCATCGCACTGCCAACGGCTTACACGCGGGGCCCGTAACCAGAGGTAGAAAGAGGTAGGACGAGGAGGACCCGTTGTTGTTGTCCGGACACAGAGCCGGACGTGATAAATCGAGACGCGCGTCCCGAAAGCGTCGCGAGTGCAAAAGCAGCGTCGGCCAGAAGGAAGTCGCGCGAGGGATCCTTCCGCGGCTCTCGCTCCTGGAGTTCGCGGCGAATCGCTCCTCTCCACTCGTGTGTTCGCCACGTACGTTTGCGCACGGCTTCAGCGAATTCATCGAATTTGCATCGTCGGAATCGCGGGATCGCGACGTCCTCGTATCTTCGTCAGATCACGCAGCTCCGCGGAGTACGATTAAACGACGCTCTCCGCCTCGGGGCTCGCCTCGTTACGCGCTTCTCAGGGTGCCGTACGATGTGCGCAACGCTAATAGAGAAAATCAATCTTCGTTTGGAAAAGCCGCTAATTACGTTGATAACTTCGTGAATCGAGAGTGATCTCCGTTAGTTCCACAGCTTCACACAGCTGCGTTCTTTCTTTATCTCTCTTTCCTTCTGTTCTCCCTTTCTGTCCTATTCATCTCTCGTTAAGAGTTGCCCCCCTTTGTTCCCCTTTGCGTAATGCCCGTACTTGCGCGAGATGTCGAGCGCCACGCAAGCCATTTAGCGCGCTTCTTTACGACCGCGAGAATTTTCGCGAGTTTCTGTCGTTAGGTGTTTACCCGGCGGACGAGCCTCGCGCGATTAACTATGTATGTCACTGGGCGTACCCTCGAATACGGCGGGACTACTTGTCGCGTCGTGTCGCGACGTTAATTAACTCCTCGCGGCCTGGCGCGTTTTTAACGTCGGCCGGGGCGTTTACGCTTTACACGTCGCGCCGAGGACCAGTTGTAAAAGGGAGAAATACGCGCGCGAGCGCGCGGTAAAAAATCTACTTGAGTGCGGCGTTCTCTCGCGCGTAATTCGGCTCGCCCGACAAACGGCGCCGTAAAGTATTCTGTAACACCTGCGAATTTTTTTCCTTTCGAGATCGCACGCTGATAGGCACGTCATCCTCTCTTCGCCGACTCCAAATTGCATTCGCTCGTGCCAAAAGGTGTACCCGAGTCTCACAATGTAAATTCATTAAGAAACGACTGTTCGGAAATGAGATGTTTAATCCACGAGTTCACACGATGTATATTATGTTTTGCTGCCTTCCTAAGTGGGAATTGAATTGAGAATCATAATATAAGTAGAAAAATTTTCGAAAAAATAGTTTCCAGTCACTAGCTAGAAACTAATCGGTTTGTATTGGCAAAGTTTATCAGACAATAACTGTCCAAAGACCGATCAGGAAAATATTGGTTTGTGCTTTTTAGCCAGTTATTAATCTGAAATTAGACAAGGAAAATGATAATTAAAAATAAAGCTGTTGCAGTAATAAATAAGTTTCTATGTGAAAAGACTTTACTTTCTGAAACACGAGTTTCATGTTATTTTGATATTGCCTATTGGAATAATTGCTTAAAAAATTTTTTTATAATAAAAAATTAATTAGAAACTGGATAAAAACTAGTTAGAAAAAATTAGTAAAAAACTGGTTAGTTTTATCTTCAAGTTTCTGACCAGTCATAATTAGAATTTTCCTGGCTGGTTGGTCAGTTTTCTACTCAGGAAGCGCGCAATATTCGAAATATTCTTCTTAATCGTGTGTCACAACCCAAATTATCATCGCGTGTCTTATCACACCTCACGATTATAAATTATCGTCTCGAAAATAATCGAACACTTTTCTGACATTCTACGTTGCGTCTGGGTTTTATAAGGGTGCGCGATGACGGATTGAGGTTCAAAATCTTCAAGTATTAAGAACAAGCTCGGTGTCAGGGCTCTGGGGTCACAGGACGGCGATACGACTACCGCGTGCTCTCGCCGATGTCTCCTACTTGCATATAAAGCACGAGCGTCGCCGTCTTCGTCGTCTTGGTCGTGGCGAGGGACTGCGCGTGCTCTCTCGTCGGTGAGATAACGAACAGTCTGTATTCTCGTTAGCAGCCGTGGCAGCCGTTAAGATAACAACGAGACACGACGCTCACCGCGAGCGACACTCGCCGCGGAAAGAAGATTTAAGTTCATCTTAGAATAAGGTATAAGTTTCATAAATTAGTCCACGGGACATGGATGGAACAGCGGGGAGGGAAAAGAGAAGACACCGTCTTTATAGATCGAGCGGCCGGCTATAATACCGTTTTGATACGTAATTTAAGTTTGGGCTTTAACCGCGCTTGAAACTTGCGGCCGCCTCTTTCACTCATACGATCCGTCTCTCTTTTTCTGTTAGTAACAATGACAAGTTCACGGACCAATCAAAACTCATCTTGAGATGAGTTTCGTGTTAATAACTGTTAATACGATTATTAGTATATTATGCCTACACCGTAAACTGTGTACCTGAATTATGATTTATTAAGTTTTTCGCAAAAACGCAAATTTAAGTGTTCTACTTTTCAAGAGAAGTAATTCAATGTTTAAATACTTATAATGGAAAAAAAACTTGTATGAAGTAGGCTGGAATTTTTTGAGTAAAATCTCAAGAAGTGAACTCGCTTTGATGGAGGTTCGCGCAAGTCGTGCGAGTAGCTCTACACGAATATCGTCCATGTGAGACACGAGGAACGACATTCATCTCGAGTGCTGGGAGCGCCAGTTGGAAAAACAAATTCCCGCCGTCCCTTCGTCGGCGGAATGGCTCATTTCCTAAGATATTCGCGCTCCTTTCTCGAGCGTCGTGTCGCGTCGCGTCTCCCCGTCATTATGAGGCCGGGCACGCGGAAAATGCAGATTTCCACGATTCCTCGCCCCTCCGCGTCTCGCAGCGCGCCGTCGCAGCGAACACGCGCGCTCGGTGCCTCCCGTGGTGGCAGTAACATTTCCACGGTTAGTGAACTCTGAATTGGTCGTACCGACCGACCGACAGACCGACCGACCCCTCTCATCCCCCGCTCAGTCCCAGCGAACCCCCTCGTGCTCGACATTTCCGTCGGAAAATACGGCCTCGTGTCGACTGCGACGTAACGTCAGGTCGGGACGGCCGCGCGGCTCGTTTCGAGATTTCCACGGTGACGAATGAGAGCTCCCTCCACGGCCTTCTCTTCCAACCAACCAACCATCCACTCATCCTACCTGCTCGACTGCACGCGTATCTCGTTTTCACTCCTTCCACGCCTTACCCATCCGCTCGTAGCGATGTCTACTACTCGGGCTCGCCCGGTCGTAAGCTCCTTCGCTTCGACTAGACTCGTCTCGGGGGATAAAGTCAGCGTTTTCCCGCGAAGCGCTTCCGTACGTGATGCGGTGTGATTCAGAGATTTGTTCCTTATCGAGAACACCTGCAACGCTCTGGCCGCTTTGTACCGGTGTCGCGGATAACTTGTCTCTCTCTTTCTCTCTTTCTCTCGTTGAGATTTTATTCTTTCAGATATCATTGCTCAAACCTATTATTTAGCTTTCATATATCGATTGCTTTTTTTAATTCTTCAAGTCACGAAGAACGGTTCTTCCTTTTTTGTCGATTCATTGATGTATATCGAGCAATATAAATTAGTCATAAATAAATTATTATCACAAACAAATGGTCAAATGACTAAATAGTCACAGGATTACTAAAGGAGTTGCGCAACGACCGGGATTATGGTTTCAACGTACTCCTGCGACGCGAAATCTTCTCGTTTGAAGTAGTTTCCAAGTCCTGTGGAATT